CACTTTTTCTACTGATGGTGACAAGGACTTAAAGTATCACTCTCTGCTTCCACCCCACCCTGTAGTGGTGAATTTTGCAGCCATCCAGATTTTTTTTTAAGTGTGTTAAAAAAGGAAGAAGAAGAAGAAGAAGAAAGAGACTAAAACCTAGCCCCAGTCTTTCAGAGTGATTAATCCCCGCTAATGATTTACCGATTTGCAGAGAGCGTGTTCTGCATAACCGGATTGTGGACGTTGACACCAGCTCAGAGGCTGCAATTCTGCTAAAAATGAAAGCAAATTTCAAGAGCAATTGACCACCCCTAATTTGAATATTCTACTGATACACTGGGAGGATCCCCACCCCCACCCATAGGCCTAGGGGCTGAGGCAGGGGAGAAAAAAATGCAAAAAAAGGTTCATTCCAAAGAGATAATTCACCTTCCAGCCCTTCTTCCCTTCTCCAAGACTAAAAGCTAGGGAGCCTGAGATTAAATAAGTGAGACTGCTCCCTTCTCTGCCAAAGGCAGTGACATCCCTGCTATCACTCCCCTCCTCTGTCCTAGGCTCTAGAGAGCACATGAAGGACAGAAGAACAGGATACCCGGAGGGGCTGACTTTAGAGGGAAAGAGGTAGGGAATTGGGAGCTCAGAACAGTGATCACATCCCATGTGAGAAGAGTTTTAGGATGGTGGCAAGCAAGCACTACGAATCTGCCCAGCTAGCACCCACCTGCACCAAAGCAGCGGATGGACAAGATGGCCTAGTATCCCACCACCACCACCTCCCAAAACTAGGAATCTGTGACAGCAGGATCCTGCCAGACTCTTCCAGTCAAAGCCACATTCCAGCTCAGAATAAGCTGGGCAGCAAGCCCCAGTGGGTGTGGGCACTTCCAGCACTCTTTAGCAAGAACTGAGGGAGCAAGCAAGTTCCACGCCTGTTCACACAGCCTCTTACTCACCCCAGCTGGCCAGCCAGGGAGAAAAACCAAGCCACACTTTTCCTTCCCAAGTTTCCGTCAGGCAGTGATCTCACCCCACCTTCCCAAGCAGGCAACAGAGACCACTTCACACAGCTTACAGATGAGGATACAGAGGGTAGAAGGCTGAGACTGGCCCACTGTCATCCAATAGGCCTAAGTCAGAGCCAAGATGGAGCTCAGGACCTTTGACTGCCAAGCCAGACACTGAAAAGGCAAGATCTAGGTGCACGTGGAGACTAGCTGGAGAGAAAGGAAGTAGCCGTGAGTGCTGCCCCAGCCCTGTCAGCTTCAGACAAAGCCTCAAAGCCCACACACTCGAAAGCCATCCCAGGACACAGCACACCCAGCAGCTCTCCCCAGGGGCCCCTTCTCTCCCCTCTTTACCTCTTCTCAGCATTCCTAACCTTTAGGAATCCAGATGGAGTGTCCCAGGCCTATCTTCTCCCAGCACTGAAACGGCTAGAGTCTGTGACTGCGTCTGCTCCCCGCACGTCCTGAACTCCTGACCAACTCACCAATGGATGGAAGAGAACTTGGGGGCTCAGCAACCAAGAGGGAAAAGCAGCCAGACTCAGTTGCCTCCAGGAGATACTGAGCAAGACTATGCCTCTCTCCCCTTCCCCAGTCTGTGCTCAGCATGCCACTGTGGAGACGCCCCTGTCTGGAATGGATTTCTGGAATATCGCCATGCATATATGGCCCCCAGGGTGCTGATGGGGATGGCCTTGTGAGTGTGGTTGTGTTCCAGAACCCGAGTCTGAGTCTCATTGGCCGAGGTCTGCGTCTGTGACCTGCAGCTTTGCAGAGGGAGTACATGGAGCTGAAGTATGTGCAGTTGCCCTTCATCCCAGCAGAGCCTCCCTCCCACCCCCACCTCCCACAACCCCTCCAGCTCAGAGACCCCCCACAGTGAGGGCCCCATCTGCTGGAGGCTCGGTGACCTGTGTCAAATGAGCAGGCGCTCGGTCACACTCCAGAGCCTGGAGGAGGCCCTCTGTTCTGGGAAAGCCCAAGCAGCTCCTGCCTGGGGGCGGGTTGGCCAGGGACCCTGCTGGGGAGGGAGGCCCGGAAGCCTCTGAGCCTGGCGGCAGTGCGGCTGGAAGCTCTTCCACAGACAAGGAGAATGGGAAAAATATGAAAAGAAAGGACTTCCTTGCTATCCTGGGACTAGTGCTGCAACCAAACCATGTGAACCAAACTCTGGGCTGGACACAACCCCTTCCTCTGCTTTCTGATCCCCTGAGTGGATCTGTTAGTTCCTGCAGGGTGTGTGTATATTTGTCTATGGGATGTGTGTAGGGTGGGCTTCTTTGTGTCTGTGCATCTGGATGACGGAGTGTGTGGCTGACTCCACATGCTCATGTGTGTGAATACAAAGGTGTGTCTATTTGTGTGACTCGACATGCTGACTGAGAATGTCCATTACTGTGGTCTCAAGAGCCTGTAGGTCTCATGTATCCCTATGTCAGTGACTTGAGCCTATATCAGACTATGTGTGGGTTCTGTGTATATCTCCTTTAGACACATGACTGTATTTATTATTGGATGTTGCTTTGTGTGGCTGTGAATATTCAGCTTATTGGTGCAAGTCTGTGTGTTCCTACTGTGAATCTGTATATTTGGCCCTGTGCCAAATTGCATATTTGTGTGTGTGTGTGTGTGTGTGTGTGTGTGTGTACATGAATGCACATCTGTTTGCCTGCCCATACCATTCTGTGTCTGCATGGGTCAGATGGGCATCTGACCTCTATGTGCACACCCCTGGCTGTGTGTTGAAAGTTCGAGGATGAGTTCTCCCGAGGGCCTTTGAAGGTAGAGCTCCTGTTCAGCTGCAGTTGTCTCTGCCAGCGGCCTTGTCACAGTCCCTAGTGTCCCACACAGAAATCCGGGAACAAGAGCAAGAAGGATGTTAAAATTTCCTGGGGAAAACTTAACTCTCAAACACAAGAAAATCCTGACTCAAGAGCAAACCCATATCCTTATAGAGAGCCTAAAATTTCCAAAGCAGAGAAGGAAATTTATCTTCCATATTTCACGCTGCTGCTCCTCCCAGGGTAGTGTCTAACACTTAAGGGACACCTAAATTCATGCTTTATTTCATCCTTGGAGCCTCAGAACAATCCTGAGAAACAGACACTACTAACCTCATCTTAAGATGGAGAAACTGAGGCCTCAAGAAACAAGGTCACTCACACAGAACCACAGGGCTGCCAAAGGGAGTGATGGGACTGGGATTTGATTTGCTAAGTGACAAGCTGCTAGCCTAGGAGCCTGGCTACTCCTTTGCTGCAGATGGCCTTCAATTCAGCTTGGACCCAGGAACACAGCTTCGGTAGTCCCAACAGACCCTGGCCTGCCCCCTGAGAGCTGCCAGAAACAGGGCTGTGGGCTCCCTTTGTTGTGAAGGCTGAAGCTGCTGCCTCTCCAGGCACCCTCTCCCACCCCACAGCAATGAGGAGATTGGTGAGCGGTGGGAACTCACAGGTCCTGCACCCTTGTCCAAGTCTCATTTCCCTCATCTATGCTTGAGGACAGACATTTCAGTGCTCTTTCACAGGACTGAGAGGCACAGGTAAAACGATGAATGCAAAAGCACGTCACAAAACACCATGCTCGTTGGTCATTGTTCTTCAAGCCTCAGTGGCAATTTGGGAGGCAGAACATCAAAACACCTATCCCCTGTCCAGACAGTTTCCTTTCTCCAACCAGAACTGGGACAGAGTCACAGCATCACAGACTATCAGAGCCGGAAGTGTCTGAGAGGTCAAAATGATCCAAACCTCCACAATCCCACTCTACTGATGAAGACATTGAGGTTTATTTAGTTAGAGAGAGAATACCTTGCCCACCCACTAATTTGCAACAATGGAAAATACCAGAATAAGAGCCCTGTCTGAAAGCTTTTCACCCCCACTGTCCAACCCCTGTCCAACTTACCTTAATGAGACAGGTGGACTGCCTGTAGTACTGTTGTTATTCCCAATTTACAGGAAGGAAAACCAAGGGCTAGAGAGACTGAACCGGAGTTACTCATGCCCGGGAAGATAGTGGCAGCTCCACGTTGGAAGCCCAAGCTTCAATGTCACACAGGCCTGGTTAGAGCTGGCAGGAGAGGAGACTTCATTGCAGAATTTCCAGCCTTGGTCTTACTTCCTGGACCTGGGACAGAGGCCAGGAAGGTGAGTGTGCCAGGAGGATCTGGACAGCCTCAACATGACTGCTTCCTGGGCCAGAGTCCAGCAAAGCTCAGCATCCCTAGCTGGTTCAGACACAAGGCTCTATCACAGCTCTTACAGCTAGGCTGGGACGTAAGGAACCTACTCAGGACAGTGGCCAATGGCCAGACAAAGACCCTATTTTGTCCGACTCCTTCCCCTGGGACTAACCAGAGGAACTCAGGACCCAGATGAGCACAATGTGTGTCCAAGGTGGCCCTTGCCACTGTCAACTCTGTCCCAGCCACCCTTGGATCATCCCCACTGCAGTGACCGCCTGAGCCCCCAGCACCTTTAATCACACGGAGGCTTTATTCCACATCCCTGACTTGTCCAGTTCTGTGATCTGGGACCCCAGTGTCCTGGAATCTATGAATCCATGTGAGGGAAGATCAGGGAGAGAAAAGAGGTAGGACAGGCAGCTGAAGACTACCTGAGACTCAAGCCTCGGTGTGGGAAAGAAGAGAGGCCACAGCTCATTCCCTTCTGCCTGGAGCCCAGTGTGGGGTCAAAAAGCAGAGAGGAACTGCAGCTGAGGTCTGCCTCCGCTCAGGGTCCTCTGGGGAGCCCTCGGAGAACTGGGAGGATGAGGAGGGTACTGAATTCCAGGCTCACCTTTCCAGCAAGGCCTCCTCAGTCTCAATTCTCTATTCAGCGGCCCCAGGCAAGTCTGGGAAACTCCAGCCCAAGGCTCTACGCAGGGCTGGACAGCTCCCAGCCTGCATGCTAGATTTCTGAAGCGCCCGCGGCTCTTCCCCACGTCCATCCCTCCTCTCTCCTCTCCTTTCCCCGGGGCGCGACCCCACTATGACCACAGTCAATGAGCCGGCCCAGCTGGGAGGAGAAGGAGCGAGAAGACTGCAGAGGCGCGGGACAGGTCCGTCCCCTGATCCCCGGCAGCGTTTTCCGGGAGCAGCAGTCTCCATCTCGAGGTCCTGTCATTCCGGAGCCCTGGAGCACCGCCGCCTTCCAGGAGCTCGAGCATGCCGGAAGAGCCGCTGCCGCCCGCCGTCCCCGCCCCGAGTGTCCGCGCGGTACTCACCCGGGCCGGGGCGCGCGAGGGAACCGACGCCCGCGCGGGGCGTAAAGTCCGAGT